CGGTCAAAATCCAGTTTTGTGGCTGTTAATCACCACAGTGCTAGCATACTGTTCTGCGATTGCGATTTTTAATGTGTGCCCGGGTTGTCAGTCCGGGCCTCAGTCCATAATACTACAGTATCGAAGCAGTAGGGTCGCATCCAACGGAAGTTATATCGAGAAATATGGATCAGAGGGCGGAAAGGACATTTGTGGTTTTCTTTTCGCTACCGGTTTCTCATTTTTATAAGTCCCAGCTGGAAATCGGAATCAGCTGGTTACTGGGGTCATGCTCTGTCTGATATGTTCGAGTCTACTAAAAGTCGTGTAGGAATAACGATCAATCATCTGTCTTAGTGAAATCCCTGCGAAATCACGACGTGCTATGAATTTTGTTGCGAATGTCGACTAAGAAATAGTCTGAATTTTTGAATTCTGGAAGAAAATTTCCTCTGGTAGTTTTGTTTCTTCTTGTTTAAGTGGCCGGTGACAACCGGAAATAGACCGATGGTCCCCCGTCACAAGGCTATAAATATTGAGGTCGGAACATACTGCAGGTCTTCCCTTGGTATACCTTGCAAATGATTATACAAGGCATCATTTTTGCAACTGCGTGGGCAGTTAACATGGCTCATACTTCTGTCAAGGATTGCAAAGCAGAGCAAGCTTGCGTACTTATTGTTCCAGAAGGTTCACAATTGCTCTTCTTCTTTCTCTTTTGCGTTCATTGCTGAAACGCTCACATGGTACCTTAACTACCCTCACTCAGACTAAAGCACATTGAATATGAGGGATTGCTAGGGCGGAGAACGGAGCACTGCGACGGTGTCGACAACGGAAAAGAAGCGTTCATATAGTTCCTTGGCGACGGATTATTTTTCAACTTAATCACCAAACGAGCGAATTTTGTTTATTATGCTGGAGGATGCTGTGAAAACAAGGCCGTCAACGAAAAGCTCCCTGGGAAGCAGTTGTATCGTTGGATATGCTTTACACTTAAACCAATGGAACAATCACTCAGCAGCAGCTGTTATCCCGTCCCAGTAGCGAGATTCTGTCGGGTAAGCATCCGTCTGTATGACGTTAAACACGGAAGACAGCAAAAACGGATTTCCCGATTTTTGCTGTACGGCAGAAGGAATAGGCGAGCGGGCACAGGGAGACAAAGCGTTAGGCAGGCGATCAGCGGTCCTTTTTTTAATCATCGCTTTGTGCCTGGAGGGAATTGTAGGTCACAGCGGAACACATAAATGCTTGAGTTCACGCTACATAGGATTCTGCAATAAAAAGATATGCGTGAGTGCTTTCGTGAATGGCTCCTGTTCACGATCACTCTGCAGGCAATACTCTGGAGCAGGGGGGCGGTGGGGGTGATGGAATTAGGTACGGAACCAGCTGGAGAGTATTATTGACCTGAAAAATTTGGCTGACAGAAAAAGAGCAAGTGCTACTGCCGAAGCCTCCTTAAAGTTTTTAGGCTTTTTAATGTCATCTTTTTGCCTGCCAGCATGAACATTTACCCGAAACGAGCTTTTCCGATCTGGGAGCAATACGGTAAATGCCTTTTCCGCTTTGTATTCAACCTCGAATCTGGAGCCCAAAAAGCAGCCGTAACAAGTGATGGTATATAAAGGCTATCTAGAAATACATGGTAGACAGGAATAACCACTTCTGGCTTGTGTACTGCTGTCAGCTTAATGCACTAGGACCGCAGACTTGGATACTGGATGGGCGGGGGGTTTAATCCGGACACTTTGTTCGTCAGGAATTAGGCAGAAGGCCATGACAGTTGGCCACATAATCGTCCTGTCTGTCGTCGTTGGGAACAGTAATGCACTTCGAAGAAAAGCTCATTGTTCTGGCTATAAAAAGCAACAAGCGCATCTCGCTTCGTCCTGAAGCTGAGACTTCATATATATATACATATATATGCATGTCAAGTGGGCGTTTGACCCTCACTGTTGTGGTTAGGATCTCACTCGATCCCATTCTGTCCGCCCGCCAGCTTGCTATTGGCGACAACGAACGCTGTGTCAGAGGACACATACCACATATAATACATGAGCAGCTCGCTAAGAGTGCAACAGGCCAGAGGCAGACAGCTGTTTCACGGTCGTTACCAATCATCAGTACGTCATAGGCCTTATGAAGTGAAGTATATATAAGCCAGTAGCAAGCTGGCGGGCGGACAGAATGGGATCGAGTGAGATCCTAACCACAACAGTGAGGGTCAAACGCCCACTTGACATGCGTATATACCTCACTTCATAAGGCCGATGACGTACTGATGATCGGTAACGACCGTGAAACAGCTATCTGCGTCTGGCCTGTTGCACTCTTAGCGAGCTGCTCATGTAATGAAGGCAGAATAAGCCCGAAACAGTACTGTATCAATCTACCCGCATTCTCTGTCGTCCCTCCTCGCTGCTATTATGACTTGGCCGACTTCGACCTGGTAATTGGTTGCCTGTTCGTGACCTTTGCCACACATACGGAGCTTGTTTGTTTTGTGAAGCCAATAGATCGGTGTGCGCCCATTCCTGATTGATAAATACCCGATCTGCAGCGACAGAGAATGACAGGTGGCGAGGCACTGATGAACTTCGGTTCGATGAAGTGCTTATGACCCATCTGGTAGGCCTCAGTGGTGGACCGACTGCGCCAGGTGCGTCTGTGCGCATGTTTGTGTTTCTGGTTCCAGCTGCTGGTGGTCAGGGTTATGATTGGCTGAATGAAGGCAGAATAAGCCCGAAACAGTGCTGTATCAATCTACCCGCATTCACTTTCGTCCCTCCTCGCTGCTATATATATATATATATATAATGTTAGGGGGGCGCTCACCGATCGTTCATACGGAACTCACTCGTTCCGTTGTGCCCTAAGGGCTCTCTCTCGAGCCCAACCAGCAGCCGCACAGCGGCGCATGATATATAGGTAGAATACTATTACCGACAAAGA